CCAAAAAAAAAAAAAAAAAAAAACCTCGCGGCCCATTCATGACTCAAGAACACCTTGCAGAGATCGTACTCCGGGTCGCCCTTGCCAATGGCCAGAACGCTCTTGAACGTCGATGCCAGGCTCATATCCGCAAAGCAAGGCGACTCGCCGCCGAAGAAGAGCGCTCCTTCCCCTGCATGGTTCGCGATCTCCTTTGCAACCTTGTCAAGACCGGTGCGCACAACTTCAAGTTGCGCAACGCGCTTCTCGCCCCGAGGAACGACAGATTCGAGGGGACCTCGGAAGAGCGCCTCGCGTGTGCGGCGGAAGTATTCCCGATCCTTGTCCTCTACCAGATCGTAGAGTTCCATCAAGATGAGAGGGAAGATAGTGAATGCGAAGGGCGTCCTGACGTTCTTCTCAAATGCAATTTGTGCATCGCGTGTGCTTGGAGGATAGACCGAGGGTGTATCCGGGTACTGCCAGAATGGCATGAGCTTGCGATGAAACGCGGTACTTGCTGATAGGTTTCACCTGAGAATCGAGGTACTCTGCAATACGGGCGGAATCCGATACTGTCTGACCAGTTGTAGGGTCGTAGATTGCAGGTACGGTGTATGCATCTCCTTGAGACGGAGGGATACCCTTCTCTTGGAAGGTGGGCTTGAGGTCGACGAAGTTGATATATGTTGTCTTAAAGGGAATGCCCTTGTAGTTGAGAGTGAAGCTAGCGGTTGATAAGGTTATAGACTCCTGGTAAACCTGATCTAGAAACTTGCCGTGTCTTCCAAGCATTGGGGCTTCCTGCGATGCCGGACTTGAAGCGGAGATCGTAGAACGTGATGGGAGAAGACATGAAGGATTCGAAACCAAGAGGCGGGCGAGATCCGAGATCGGGACACCAACCTCCAAAGGGTCTGCCCATATTAGGCAAGACCCCCAGTTGTCAGGGTCGCGAAGGGTCTTTTTCGCGCGTTTTCGTCGACTTGTACACTACTCGTTCGCGAACGTCGCTACCTCTTTGAAATTTATTGTACACCCTTTTAAGTGCCCTACAGATGTGCGAAGCAACTTTTTGGGGGTAAGCTACGAATGAAATACCGAGTGAATAAAAGAGCAAGTAAATTCCAGCCACGCGAGCAAATGCCCCGGAGGCATGGCGCATCTAGTGCATCAAACGCGCTTGACACACATGAGGCAGCGCGCAGCTACGGCGAAGTCGAATATGCGCGAGCGGTGGGCGGCGCGAAGCGCCGCTCACCGCTCGAGCTCGCCGGGCTGAGTCGTGGCATGGCAGACCATTGTGATGGCGGGTGTAAGGAAAA